AAAAGAGACCAACGTCGTCTATGCCTTCAAATGCCCACTTGGGGACTGTAAGCTCCAAAAAATCCAGTATATAGGCAAGACAACAACATCTCTTTCTAGGCGTTTAACGATGCATAAGCAACAGGGCTCCATTAAGGAACATATAATCTCTTCCCACAACCAAACCATCGCCAGAGAAATCCTAGTAAACAACACAGTAATCATGGATAGATACAGCGATAGCTAACGGCTTGACGTTTGCGAGGCACTACACATTAAGAAGTCAACACCAGCAATCAACAGCCAATTAATGCACAACTATATTCTACCCACCTCAAGACTCCGCTCCAATATAGAAGCATCAAGAAATATGGACCAATAGGCTTTCTACAATCACTTCCATTCAATACCCATTGTTTCGTGTTCTGTCTTGTGTTGATGAATTTAATACCCTATTAATACCACCTCACCCCATCCACCTCACTCAAATGTAGATATAAACAAATCGGAGATGTGTAAGTTCTATTCAGTTGTGTATGTGTAAACTAAAGTCTTTGAAAATGTAATAAGTTTTACGAAACGCGCTCAAGTGTCGCGTCAGACTAGAAATAAAAATGAATTTTGGAGAATTGATTTTTGAATTACCACCAGCAGTGAAAAGAAATGTACGAAAGATTGAGAAAATTCGTGTTAGAATTATTAATCTTACTTTTTCGGTCATATTTAATAATATATGTCTACAGGAAAGACTGCTACCAAAATATACTAATATATATATATATATATATATATATATATATATATATATATATATATATATATATATATATATATATATATATATATATATATATTATATGTTCTCTCTGGTTTGGTTATCATATCTTCAGTCACGTTATCGTGACTCATCGTCTGTATATAGATGTTTCTTGAACATGTTATCAACCGGAATTTTTATATCTGTGTTTATTCTACTTTTAAGAGTTTAGTTTCTACTATTCTATTGAATTATTTATGAATTCTAAGGAGCATAAACTGGCGTACTGGAGCAGGTGTCCGAGCAGAACCCGTGTTCTAGTAATGGTGTGATCCAGATGTGATTTTATTTGGATAACATTTGGTGTGGACTCTGGGAGATCATCTACTCCTCGGGCCCCGGTCGTATCTCGGCTCCTTGTTCTTATATCTCGGCTCCTTGTCCTTATATCTCGGCTCCTTGTTCTTATATCTCGGCTCCTTGTCTTTATATCTCGGCTCCTTGTCCTTATATCTCGGCTCCTTGTCCTTATATCTCGGCTCCTTGTCCTTATATCTCGGCTCCTTGTCCTTATATCTCGGCTCCTTGTCCTTATATCTCGGCTCCTTGTTCTTATATCTCGGCTCCTTGTTCTTATATCTCGGCTCCTTGTCCTTATATCTCGGCTCCTTGTCCTTATATCTCGGCTCCTTGTCCTTATATCTCGGCTCCTTGTCCTTATATCTCGGCTCCTTGTTCTTATATCTCGGCTCCTTATCCTTATATCTCGGCTCCTTGTCCTTATATCTCGGCTCCTTGTCCTTATATCTCGGCTCCTTGTTCTTATATCTCGGCTCCTTGTTCTTATATCTCGGCTCCTTGTCCTTATATCTCGGCTCCTTGTCCTTATATCTCGGCTCGTTGTCCTTATATCTCGGATCCTTGTCCTTATATTTCGGCTCCTTGTCCTCATACATGGAGCCTCATACAGGTAATGTCTTAAGTCTCTGTACTTGATAGTTTTCTGGGTCTCCTTGAAGGTGGCAGCCTGGTCAGTCCCTCATATGTCATAACAGATTCCCTGACAGTTCCTCAGTTCTCACACAGGCCTTCAGTGTCCTCACAGGCCCTCACAACTCCCACACAGATACTCAGTTCCCTCGCAGGCTCAAACATGCTTCACAGGTCCTCATTCTGCCCCTCACAGGTCCTCATACTACCCTCATATGTAGAGCCAGTTCCTCATGATCTCTCCACTCCGAGTACAAGAGAAATCTGGATAACTATCAACTTCCTGGCGCCTTCATTTGGGTAAAAGCTTCTCCATCTTTCATTTTGTTCTGGAGGAAAGATATCGATGTTCCGGGAAGACGTCGGAGTCTGGACTGGCGATTTTAGTGACAAATGGAAGAAATTTATCTTTTCGTTTACTGGAATCTAAGTTATCTAGAAATATATTGTCTGATTCCTGTGATTTTTTTAGCGGAATCGGTAATATTTAAATGAATTTTTAGTAGCAAAAATTGTTCTGGAAGACTTTCGCAAGGAAATATTTAAGTGATGATTAGTAATGGAAAAGAGTGAGGGAGCGCACTTAACTTTAATGCCTCTAGCAGGGAGTGTATAGCGAGGGTTATAGGGAGCCAGGGGGTCGAGATCCTTCTCCCCCTCCCCATGCCTCTCCTCACGTAGGATTGGCTCCTGTTGCGACAAACAACGACGCCTATGAATCCTGAAATTAGTGTTTCAATATCCATAGAAAGTCAACAATAGACTTTCCAGCTTTTATCAATGTTGAATCAACATCGATAATGTTGATTCATTGTTACTCGAACATGTTTTGCTCATTGGGAGAGAAAATGGGAGGGAAGATAGAGGGTGGGAGGAATGGCAGGAGGAAAGAAACAAAAAGAGACCCGGGCACCGCTGGGTTCTCCATTTATATCTATATGAAAAAGAACATCTGTATGTCCAAGGATGGAGGCCAGACGCTAGAGGCTAGCCTCGCACAACTATGTAATGTGATGGGAGACTTTACGGAGAGTATCGCAGGGTAGTCGGGGGTCAGCTCCTTATGCCACCCCTTGAAGAAAAATCGGCTGCTGTAACGCCTTCATGAGACCAGTGGACAAGAAATATTAGTGAACTCAGATACAGACATTTAAAAAGCATCTTTAGATAACCTATCTGCGTCCTGGGTACAACCATTTGATTACAGTGACGTAAGAACACAAGAACATGAGAACAAACATAAGAATGCAGAAGGCCTATTGGTCCATACGAGGCAGCTCCTATTTATAACCACCCAGTCTCATTCATGTACATGTCTAACTTCCGTGTAGATGGTGAGTAGTGAAAATAGTTCCAGTGATGATGAATATGGGAAGAATGTGTGGAGATGGTATGATGTTTAAAGTGATGAGGTCAGTGTGTTGTGGATATGGTTAGTGATGAGGCGAGCTGGTTAAGGTGTGTGAGGGGGTGACTGCAAGGGTGTGTGTGTGTGTGTGTGGGGAGGAGGGGGAGAGAGGGTGTGTGTGTGCACATACACCCCCCCACTGTGTGCTTGAGGGTACCCCATATGTGTGTGCACCCCCCTGTGTGCGTGAGGGTACCCCATATGTGTGTGTACCCCCGTGTGTGTGTGTGAGAGCACCCTCTCCTAGTATATACATAACGGAACCCAACAGCTGCTGGTCGGGTCCATCATGCGGGTATAGAGAACGACTAAATAATGTTAACGAGATGGTCGTTGCCAGGCTCCAGGCGGCAACGACCTCTCGCTAAATATTAACAAATTTTAGCACATAAAAGAGGCAGGCGAAAAAAGTATGAAAAAGCTTTTTCCTGGCTTGTAAAGTACAGCTTAATTAACAGTGTTTGACTAGATCCTTTTCAACTATTTTCTTGTGAGACCCGTTAATTAGTTCAGCATTTTAATTGTTCGTGAATATCTACATATAATTTCGAGTCTGCACAGTGAAATTCAGAGACGAATTTATCTGTACAGAACTACAGGAGCAGTGTACATTGTGTACAGAACTACAGGAGCAGTGTACACTGTGTACAGAACTACAGGAGCAGAGTACACTATGCATTATGTGTACAATCAACGTCCGGCGTTCTCTCCAGATTGTACCACAATCCGGCCAGAAATAGAGGAGTGACAATTAGCTGATGACTGCTGGAAAGACGACAAAGTGGGCAAGGAAAAGCAATACCTTAGAGAGGGAGAGATAGAGTAAGATAGTGCTTACCTCATTGTGCCTACGTAGAGGTGAGGGTCAAGCTCATTATGACCCGTCTTTAAGCTTTGGTGCTCCTGTTTAGGTTAATTTTTTTTTTGTTTTCTTGGGCTTGAATTCTTCGTCAAATCTGGCTTTGAGATTTTTAGATGGAGGTGGCTTTTCCATCTTCTTCTTTCTGAGTTTCTTTCGACTAGCTTGTTTGTGCAGGTGTGTGTGTGTGTAGTGTGTGTGTGTGTGTGTGTGTGTGTGTGTGTGTGTGTGTGTGTGTGTGTGTTCTCCAGCATCATGTTCCCTTACTCTTCCATCTTTCCCTTCCTTATCTCTCTTCCCTTACTCCCTTCCCTTAATCCCTTCCCTTTTTTCCTCTCTTAAATCCCACTATTTTTTCTTCTTTTTCCTCCCCTGTCTCTTTCTCTCATCCTTCGATATTTCTTTTACATCTTTCCCTTCTCCGTTTCCCCATCCCCTTATTCGTCTCCCCCTTCCCTCTCATGCCCTCTTTACCTTCCCACTCCACCCCCACCTTTCTCTCCACCCTGTTGACACCAGCCCGTCCTCCTAAGTTTCAAAACATCAAGCAAACGGTAAATTTAAAGTGTCCTCTTCTAACCTACCAGAGGAGCCAAAACAGAAAACGGGACAGTACGTCACTTTCGCGAGCCGCTTTCATTTTCTAGTACGAAAGTTTTTGGCCTTAGGTAACGCATACGAGCGAAAAGCGACGTTCTTTGTAAGAGGACAGGTTGTTGACATGTGCAGGCAACGGAACAGGAATAAACGCCTATTCTAGGCTGGACTGAAGTATTTCCGCCTCTAGTGTCCGCCAGGCAACGGGACAGAAATGAACGCCTATTCTAGGCTGGACTGAAGTATTTCCGTCTTCAGTGTCCGCCAGGAGGAACCCACACACAGGAGAACAGACGGCCGGGGCGAGGCATAACCCAAATTGGATGTCTCGCTGCCTCTCAATGTGTGAGGGCCGTTGTGGAGGCGTTGCTTCGTACTGTCCGGTGGTGTTTATAGCCCCCCCTTGTTACTTAGCCTGGCCAAGACTATGTCCTGGGGTCGAGGGTCAAGCTCCAGCTCCAGGGACGTCACGGGTGTGGACGATGCTGTGCGGTCTTGCATTGTATCGTTGTGGTTCAGGCTGTGTGATGCTAAATAAAGCTGCAATATGCCATAATACAGTGGAATGCAATGGAGTGAAACGCTGCATACTGCTTTATAAAATATTATAATGCATTGTTGACTAGACCACACACTAGAAAGAGAAGGGGACGACGATGTTTCGGTCCGTCCTGGACCATTCTCAGAATCGACTTGAGAATGGTCCAGGACGGACCGAAACCTCGTCGTCCCTTCACTTTCTAGTATGTGGTCTGGTCAACATACTTCAGCCCCGTTATTGTGACTCCTCGGCTGCATTATAATGCAATACTTGAACAAAAGTAAAACATTCATAAAATAATTCAATATAAATGATATTGAGTTCTATTATGTATTATATAATTTCTATTGTTGTGTTTTGATCTTTTGTTTTGCCTCAAATGTTATTATATTGTATTGTGATATAAGTGCTGTATTTCATTGCATTGTATTAAACTATAATGTTGTACATCATTTAGTTACATATTGTTATTTAATTAACTTCATTATGTCCTTTTGCAATCAATTATTTTTAACAGAATATATATTTGTTTTTAATTATTTGTGCATTATATTGTATTTATATATATAATTGCACACATTATCTAATATTACGATAATTAACGTCTACAGTGATTTATTACCTGGTAAAGTACAATCAAAAATAGATCCCAACGCAAACAATTCAGAAATTATTTTCAAAGTAGTGTTCATACTAGTCAGTACCTTTTAATGCAGTGGTCGCGGTTGACAACTCTAGTGATTGGTTGATTGTTTTACTAACTACTTGATTACTGACTCCTGACGTCGCAGGAGAATCAACTCTAGGAAACACACAGACTCCGCTGTCACGTCCTACATACACTGGGGCTGGTCGTGGCACTGACCTGTCCTCACACTGTGGCTGGTCGTGGCACTGACCTGTCCTCACACTGGGGCTGGTCGTGGCACTGACCTGTCCTCACACTGGGGCTGGTCGTGGCACTGACCTGTCCTCACACTGGGGCTGGTCGTGGTACTGACCTGTCCTCACACTGGGGCTGGTCGTGGCACTGACCTGTCCTCACACTGTGGCTGGTCGTGGTACTGACCTGTCCTCACACTGTGGCTGGTCGTGGTACTGACCTGTCCTCACACTGTGGCTGGTCGTGGTACTGACCTGTCCTCACACTGGGGCTGGTCGTGGTACTGACCTGTCCTCACACTGTGGCTGGTCGTGGTACTGACCTGTCCTCACACTGGGGCTGGTCGTGGTACTGATACCTGCTTATCAACTTATTAGTGTTCTCTCTGAGCCAGAAATGTTTGTGCACTCTGATGAACGTGAGTGGTAGAATGTTGTCAATGCCTATGTCAACAACGCCCTCACACACTGCTCCAGTTAGAAGCGAGTTGACGAGGAACTCGGTAAATGCAGATCCTGATCAACAATGGATAGTCAAATGGCTTATCAAAGAGATCATTAAAAGGAAGGCGAACCCCTCCATATAACCTCAGGCGAAACGGTACATTGTCGGTCCCTACTGTTAAAGTATTTAACGAGGAACATCTTCTCCATGGTGCATAAAGTGGGAGAAAGCGTCCTGAAGGAGTGTTGATATAAATGGAACCCCTTCCGACACTAACCAGAAGATTGGATTATTTATATACTATAAGAGTATGAAAACGGCGAACTTACTCGTGAATAGCTATCCCGACACCAAACAAAAGGCCTTGAAGGAGACAAATGTCATCTATGCGTTCACACTTGGGGAGTGTGAGGCCCAATGGTGTCAGTATATAGGCAATACAGCAGCTCTTTCAAGATGGCTGATAATGCACAAACCGTAAGGCTTAGCCAAAGAACATGTAAATTCTACACACAACCAGATCACCAGAGATATCCTGACAAACACCAAAATAATCTACAGATAGAGCGACAGTAGAAGACTGGACACTGGCAAGGCGCTGGCCATCTAACAATCCCAGCCAACTATCGGCAGCCAGTGTTGTTAGCCCTGTGGCCCTGAAAATGAAAAAAAAATGAAAATAAATTTGGGATTTTTTTTTTTCAACAACAGTAAGTTAAGGGTCCTCTGATAGGTTAGGTGGGCAGGAAATTCTCATAAAGTTTCAAAACGGTATGAAAAACGTTAAAGGAAAGTTTTCTCATCTAAGCTGGCCGAGTAAGCCGGACGACTCATACAGAAAACGGAACAGTACGTCACTTTTGTGAGCCGATTTCATTTCAAATTACGTCCAAATTTGGCCATAGCGCGCATATGAGTCAAAAGTGACGTTATTTTTAAGAGGCGGGTTGGGCCCTTAACTGTTCTTGACTCGAGAGTTGACTTAGCTCTGGAATGATTTTTGTTGTCCGGTGCTGCACGTTCTCCAGAGCAGCTATGTCCTTGTGGAGATGTGGTCTCTATGCTCGTATACAGTAATCCAAATAGGGGCGTACTAGGGGGAGATACAACTGATTCACTACTTTCTTTTTATAGCAATACTGGAGAATTGCCAAATAGTATTTTTTATATATTATTTTTTTGTTTGCTATGAAAACATAAAATATAATCAGTTTAATTAAATACAAGCCACTGGAAAGTGTATTTTTAAATTAAGCTGTATAATTAAAATTAATTTCGTTGAGGATTTATTATGTAGCATTTTCCTAATTTTGATATTTTACTTTATGTGACTGTTTGTTTGTTATTAGTATTACAAAATGATATTAATTAATATTAATTAATATTAATTAATTTTAACTATAAAGAACTTTATTTGATCTTGCCAAAGATACCAAACAAATGACTTTGTAATAATATTTGTTCAAAGTGTTCTCATAACAAAACAAATACACAAGGAAATCACACTAACGTAATATATCAATGATAAAATCAACTGGAGCAGTTCAGGGGGCTCGAACCCTCGACCTGAGTACTCCCAGCCACGCGCCTTAACCAACTGGACCACGACATAGTAAAGATTATACAACCTGGGATTCCACTAATCCCCTAGGAAGTCCGGAGGCCCAGAGCTAGAGCCAACCCAAGTTTTAACATCCCATGACGTAGGGGGCGTGTGTGTGGGGCGCCCCATGACCTACAATAGAGTGCACATGGGTTATATACGTAAAACTTGGACTAGCTTCAGCTCTGGGGCCCTACCGTCCAGTCCAAGTGAGCGACGGTCTCGTTTCATGCTGGTCGGCGATCAATCCCCGACCGTCAAAGTGGTTGGACACCATTCCTTTTCCCCCGTCCCATCCCAAATATTAAACCTGACCCCTTCCAAGTGCTATATAGTCGTAACGGCTTGGTGCATTCTCCTGATGATTCCCTTCGCTTCTAGGCTTCCAGACTTCCTGGGGAATCAGTGGAATCTCAAGTGGTATAAGCCTTAACATGTTGTGGTACAATGGTAAGATGTTTGGCCAGGAGTACACAGTCCACTGGTTCGAATTTCAGTATTGAGATTCGATTGACTTCCTCCTAATTAAAATTATATATATATATATATATATATATATATATATATATATATATATATATATATATATATATATATATATATATATATATATATATATATATACAGACTCCATACGCAGTTTCAAATGTAGATATGATAGAGTCTAATTGGCTCAGAAATCTGTACACTAGTTGATTGACAGTTGAGAGGCGGGACCAAAGAGCTAGAGCTCAACCCCCGCAAGCATAACTAGGTGAGTACACACACGCACACACACACACACACACACACACACACACACACACACACACACACACACACACACACACACACACACACATACGAAAATGACATCGCAAGCAAGGCAAAGACTCAGCCTAAATTGCTGCATAGCCACATCAGGAGAAAAACAACAGTAAAGGAACAGGTTATGAAATTAAGGTTAGGGGCAGAAGGATTCACAACAAACGACAAGGAAGTGTGTGAGGAACTGAATAAGAAATTCCAGGAGGTCTTCACCTTAGAGCAAGGAGAAATCCCAGAGATAAGAGAGGGAATAGCTAACCAGGAACCACTGGAAGAGTTTGAGATTACCAGCGGGGAAGTAAGGAAGTGTTTACTAGAATTGGATGTGACAAAGGCTATAGGTCCAGATGGAATCTCCCCTTGGATGCTAAAGGAAGGAGCAGAAGAACTGTGCCTCCCGCTCTCCATGGTGTATAACAAATCACTGGCAACAGGGGAACTGCCAGAAATTTGGAAAGCAGCTAACGTAGTCCCGATATACAAGAAAGGGGATAGACAGGAGGCACTGAATTACAGACCAGTGTCCCTAACCTGCATACCATGCAAGTTGATGGAGAAGATTGTGCGAAGAAAGCTAGTGGAACATCTGGAGCGAAAGAACTTTGTAACACAGCATCAACATGGATTCAGGGATGGCAGGTCCTGTCTCACAGGGTTACTTGAATTCTACGACCAGGCAACAAAAATAAGGCAAGAAAGAGAAGGGTGGGCAGACTGCATATTTTTGGATTGTCAGAAAGCCTTTGACACAGTGCCACACAAGAGGCTAGTGAAAAAACTGGAGATGGAGGCTGTAGTGAAAGGGAAGGTACTCCGTTGGATACAGGAGTACCTAAGTAACAGGAGACAACGAGTCAGTGTGAGGGGTAAGGTCTCAGATTGGCGAGACGTTACGAGTGGAGTACCGCAGGGGTCAGTCCTTGGACCTATACTGTTTCTGATATATGTAAATGATCTTCCAGAGGGTATAGAATCGTTTCTCTCAATGTTTGCCGATGATGCAAAAATTATGAGGAGGATTGAAACTGAGGACGATAGTAGGAGGCTACAAGATGACCTAGACAGACTGAGTGAATGGTCCAACAAATGGCTGTTGAAGTTCAACCCGAGTAAATGCAAAGTAATGAAACTAGGTGGTGGAAATAGAAGGCCAAACACAGGATACAGAATAGGAGATGAAGTACTTAATGAAACGAACAGAGAGAAAGATCTAGGAGTTGATA